TGAATAATTGTATTCTTATTTTGATTGTATAATTTAGAAATAATATGGAATTTTTTTACTAAATTGTATTGACATTATACCCAACAGTCCATTTCTGTTATCGTGTAATAAACAGAAGAAAAAAACAACAAAACACAAACATAATACTTAATTAAAAATTAATTTACACCACATTAAATTACACAACCCGTTAAACCATTATGGCAGCTACGTTTTTCGGTTTTATTTAAATATTGTGAAAATAAATAAAAAAATAAATAGGTATATGTAATGTTGTTTAAATTGACATGAATATTGTAACCAATACTACTTTAACCTTTCGCATGCTTTATCGGCTTAGAAATATTAATATTCATACATGTTAAAACTGGTAAATGTGCGCTAATTTAAGCTAGTGAATTATTTCGTATCCAATTGACTGGTTTAATTAAATACGACCTCAGAGAAATAAGTAAGCATAGAGGATCCGTCGCCGCGTATAAATAACACTGTGGTTTTAGGTTAACTTCTACATTATTTCATTGAACGTGAAATGGTTGCAATGTGATGAAAATTCTCAGAGAAATAAAGCAAATAGAACAATTTTGCTTTACAGTGTGTCCCAAATTCATGTTTTTTACAGGGTTTCTCGTTTATGACTAAAATCATGTGCACTCCTCACATGTCTTTAGCTTCTAACGTTACAAGGTTTATACCGGGTGTTGCATCGTCGGACGGGACATAGGAAATCCCATGTAAATTTTAATGGGGTCAATTATTGACTTCTCTAATTATTTTAGAGAATAATTCTATTTAGGTTTATTGAAGAGCACTAAAAGCCACATTCAAAAGAATAACTTTAGATATTTTTGATTAGCCCGTTTACGAGTTATCGCCGATTTCTTTTTAAATATTTCTCCTTTCTTATGGCCCTGTATTTACTTATGAGCACCAGTCAAGGTAAAAGATAACTGTCAAATGAAGTTGTCATTTCAGAAATTTACATATTTAGTGCTTTATTATTATTGAAAACTCATTCCTACATCGGAAATCTTAAAGATGTATTTATAAATACAAATTAATATGAATTAAAGTAAAATAAAGAAGTCAATTACAAGGTTAATTATAGTATTATTACAATATTCAATAACTTATTAATTTAGGTACTATTAAATTGTTAGAACTTTAGGATTTAAGAAGATGTTCAAATATTCCTCCATCGACTGCTAGACAATAACCCAGGCGATCATAAAATTCACTTCTTACATTCGCTAGTTGGTAAACTGAAATTCTATTGCATTTCGGCAGAAATAGCATTTTTAACTCGTCTAGATTTGGGTATTTTTTATCCTTGTATATCCTGTTTTTAAATGGCCCCAGAGAAAGAAATCATTTGGCGAAATATCAGGATACCTTGCTGGCTAATTTACTGTATCATTTAGGCCAATAACGTTTCCGTTAAAACTATTGTCTAAATATTCCCACACAGCCAGGGTACTATGTGTCGGGCAGCCATCCATTTGGTACCAAACTTCCTGATTTTCACTAGCGGCATCATGTAAAGCAGGTAGAATATGATTTTCGAGTTGTTCCAAATAATATTGTGCATTTAAATTTCGCTTAAGAAATAATGGCTCGATAATATTGTGTCCGAATATCCCTGCCCAAACATTTACTTTCTGTGGATATTGCGTCCTTGTTTCGACAAACCTGTTCCAATATCGATAATTTTGAACATTGGGTTCATTATTTAAGGTAAACGTGTATTCGTCAGTGAAACATCAGAACAAAACGCCTGCCGCCGTATTTCGTCCCCATCTCGTAGCTCTTGATGCTTTTTATATTTGAAGGAATAGTATTTATGTCGTTTCAAAATTCGAAACGCTGCAGTGTGATCCATTCCTATTTCATCCTCAAATTTCCTTGTGCTGATCTTTCCATCGTTCTCTTCCACGCACAATAAAACTTCCAAGTCGGTATCATTTCTTGCATCTCCTCTTTGTTCCTGCCTTGCTTCACATCTGCAGTTATTTATTAGGGTACCTTTTTTGTCTCAAATCTCTGGATATTCCTTGCGATTGTAGATTTTCCAGGTATCGGTCTATTCGGATACAGAGCAGCAAACATGTCCGACACCTTTTGATAACTATTTCCTTGATAATACTATTTAATCATCAATACTTTTTCTTCGGTAGTGTAATTCATGGCTAATATTTTCGATGTAGGTATGAGTTTTTAATAATAATAATAAAGGACTAAATAGATAAATTTCTGAAATGACAACTTCATTTGACAGTTATCTTTTACCTTGACTGGTGCTCATAAGTAAATACAGGGCCATAAGAAATGAGAAATATTTAAAAAGAAATCGGCGATAACTCGTAAACCGGCTAATCAAAAATATCTAAAGTTATTCTTTTGAATGTGAGTTTTAGTGCTCTTCAATAAACCTAAAAATTATTTTCTAAAATAATTAGGGAAGCCAATAATTGACCCTATTAAAATTTACATGGGATTTCCTATGTCCCGCTCGACGATGCAACACCCGGTATGTTGCGTCGGTTGCGTCCATATCCCTATCGTCCTATCTATCGTTATAAGGTTTATATGTTGCGTCCACAGTTTTTTTTAAGTTTGTGGTTCATTCTGCCAAGACACAAGAGCGAGAATTAATGAATATCGAAATGAAACTGTAGCGACGCCGTTGCCACAGATCGAAAACGAGGTCGCCGGCAGATCGGGATTGGGGGTTATCCGCGCGCGAATCAGCCGAGCGATGCCGCAACAATCGGCGCGACATTGTAGAAAGTCGCGATATACAGCGTGTCGAAACAAGCGAGGCCTCGATTTGCACAACGACCGACCGAAAGGATGGTAATTAGGGGCTGGATTCAGTCGGTCTCATTCAGAATTGCCGGTGCCTGATGATGTAGACTGTACGAGAGGGGGTTTAATCACCGCGATCTTACATATTTTACCTTATATCTATCAAAAATAGTAGATAAAATAGTACATTAACCGCAAGGGTAGATTAAATGATACTTTAACAGCGAGGATAGGTTAAAAACTTTATTACTTCTCGCGCGTTTTTTAATTGCTTCCATTTTTGAAAATTTTAAGTTATTAAAAATATAAAAATATTGTTTTATACACGACGATAAAATTGCATTATGGTCTCCCGAAATTAATTCACTCGCGATTTCATAGCTCCTGAATTAATCTTTTCGGTCGACGATGAAATACCATTTTATCGTCTTGTATAATAAATAACTATTTTCTACATCTATTTTTTACTTTAACGGTGTTTAATTAAGGTATATATTATATAGGTGACTGCTATTTTGTAAAACCATCAAAACAAAAACGTAAATAACTGTTATACTGTAAAATGGCCTAGAGTTTTACTAAAGTGTGTTGATTAGAACCCAATCTCTATTCCAGGATTACAAAAAAATAAATAAGTAAAAACAACATTTCGTAACCAATTTTGGTATATTTTTAGGTTTATGTTTTCTAGGAAACGCGGAAAAGTCCGAAAATAGCCGGTCGATATTTTAGGAAGTTTGTTTACCAACTCGACTTCTCTCACGTCAAACTTTCGTAATTTTTAGATAAGAAGTGTTTTTACATAAAGTTGTCTATGTGTGGCAATAGAGAAAATAGAACATAATAATTTTGTTGCCACAGAATGTTTTTTTCTTTAAAAAAATACATACAATTTTCAACCAATATAGCTTTTACCTTTGTATAGTTTTTTAGTGTCTAATGAAATTCCCAGCACAGGGTGTTCCATCAAGAATAGCTCTCGGCTGTATCTTGGAAAGTATTAGCCTAAAAGTAATTATGGTATATATTGTGAATGGTTGGGCAGTGACTTAAATAATCCTCAACCAATATAGATTTCACCTTTGTATAGTTTTTTTAGTGTCTAATGAAATTTCCAGCACAGGGTGTTCCATAAAGAATATCTCTCGGCTGTATCTTGGAAAGTATTAGCCTAAAATTAATTATGGTATATTTTGAATGGTTGGGCAGTGAATTAAATAATCCTCAACCAATATAGATTTCACCTTTGTATAGTTTTTTTAGTGTCTAATGAAATTTCCAGCACAGGGTGTTCCATAAAGAATATCTCTCGGCTGTATCTTGGAAAGTATTAGCCTAAAAGTAATTATGGTATATTTTGAATGGTTGGGCAGTGAATTAAATAATCCTCAACCAATATAGCTTTTACCTTTGTATAGTTTTTTAGTGTCTAATGAAATTCCCAGCACAGGGTGTTCCATCAAGAATAGCTCTCGGCTGTATCTTGGAAAGTATTAGCCTAAAAGTAATTATGGTATTGTCGTGATCCTGGATTGGACCACCGTCGTCACCAATCTTGTAGCCGCTGCCACCAAATAATGGTTCTGTTTATTTGCATCACCCATCTTTCTGAGAAGAATAATAATGTTGATGGTATTTTTCGTACCTTAAATTCTTTAGGCATAGCCGTAGAATAAGGGTAAAAATAATATTTTATACAATTTGTCGAATATACATATACATATAACCATATTAAATGTATGTTCACAACAGTATATTTTGTGAATGGTTGGGCAGTGAATTAAATAATCCTCAACCAATATAGATTTCACCTTTGTATAGTTTTTTAGTGTCTAATGAAATTTCCAGCACAGGGTGTTCCATCAAGAATAGCTCTTGGCTGTACCTTGGAAAGTATTAGCCTAAAAGTAATTGTGGTATATTTTAAATAGCTGGGCAGTAAATTAATCTCTGCAAGGTTTTATATCCTCAAATTTTCAATCGCTTGGATTTTCGTGTTCGAACTATGGGAATTATTCATCCCCCTGTATATCAGTGACGATATTAAAGTTGAACTGAAGTTAAAACAGGATAAGAGTTTTGGCAAATGTGCAGTTAATAATTAAATAAATATTAATATTAAAAAAATGCGTTCTTTCAAATAAATTATTACCCACCATCCTCAAACTCATATATCTGATTTTTTTTCTTTGCAGACTCGGCGAATCTGAAGGTTCGTACTGTACCCTAGCATCTTTCCCCCACTCGGACGCCTCCTCCACGACCTCCTCCGACCCGCCCTCCGCCGCGTCCACGCCACCACCTTCCTCGCCTCGCAGCCAGTCCAACTCGCCCACGCCGCCACACTCGCCCGCCGCCGCATTTTACGATAGGCCGGCCGCGCCGACGACCAATCGGCGCCACGGCCACGCCCACCGCGCGCCCAACGGCGCCTCGATGACGCAGCGGCAAGCGGGCGCGGGGACGTACCCTGGGAACGGTTACGACTACGCCACGCCCTCGGGGAAGGCCTTCAGGAATAACCAGGGAGGGTTCCACGTCGGCAACGCGGGCGGCAGGCAGAACAGGCAGTCGCCCAGAGAGGTAAGCGGAGGAGTATTTATTTTTTCTTTATTTATAGTCTGTTCAACGAGAAAATGATCTGGACCAGTAAATATGGTATTTTAAAGAAATCTGTCGACCTTTTAATTATAATTTACTCCTTTAATATATTTATTAAAAATTATAGAAAATAACGACATAACCTTCTAAATGCTGTATGATCGAATAAAAACGGCGTCAGCGATGGATATGAAATGAAAATCGCTGTCATTTTATATGTAAAATTATATGGGAAAGGTCATCGATCGTCATTTCATGGCCATCGCTGACGCCGTTTTTATTCGATCATACGGTATTACAAGGGAAACATAGTAAACATTTTAAAGCGTTCAAAACAATTAAAAAAAAACATTCTTAAATATAAGATTGCTTATTGGTACAAGGTTAGTAAAAGTGGATTTCAAAAATAGCTGTTGAACTTTTACTGGTGTAGTCCTAGCAAATCAGTGAATGTGAGCTTTTACTAGTAATTGTTAACAATTACTGATTTCCGATATTTACTATAACATATACCGTATGATCGAAAAAAAAACGGCGTCCAGTTGGCTGGGAAATGACGATCGATGACATTTCCCATATAAATTTACATATAAAATGACAGCGATCTTCATTTCATAGCCATCGCTGACACCATTTTTATTCGATCATACGGTACATAGACATCCATAGTTAACAATTAGAAACTTTTTTAGTGAAAAATATGGATTGGTACGGCCGTTTTTAACATATTTTTTAACAAAGGTATTTATTTTCCAGATGAACTTTAACTCTTTCAACCCCCACCAACGGCCGATGTACCCCCGTTGCGACGGACCCCCCTACGCAATGGCGCCCCCCTTCTACAGGAACATGAACTACAACAGGAACTACAAGAACGTCCTGAGGGTATAGGAACAACCCCTGAATCCTCCCTCGCGGGGACCTCTACTCTCAGCCTAGGTTTACGTTTGCTCCTCCTTTGGCGAGGTCAAGACATCCTGCCCCGGAGGTGGCAGTCTTACGATAACAGGAAAAACTCCACTCTATTTTCTATATAACCCGTTTAAAAACAGTTATTTTTAAGTTTCTTCGATTTTCCTCCGTTAGAAACGCGTTTTAGTTCCTGAAAGGGGCGTGGTTTAACACGCCACGCCCTCTAATAGCGTTCCTGTTCTCGTAAGTCCCTCCTCCGGGGTTATTCCACGCCCTATGCACCGCCGACACGGTACAACACTTGAAACAAAGGATTACTGATAGATGTATAGATGGTTGGTAGAAAAGGATGGATACAGGACCTGGTGCAGGCCGAAGTGGGAGGGAACATGTCTGCTCGGAAGCCATTTTTTCTACGTAAGGTTCTTTTTATTGTCTGTGACGCGAGTACAGCGTACAGGAATCTACAGGGTTACAGATAAAGTCCGTATCATAAGAAACTTTTTTTAATTTATATTTTTTAATATTTCAATTATTAGTTTAAACGTCAAATTTGACAGATACCTGAGGACAGCAGGCTAAATTTTCTTATATCAATTTTAATCTAAATCAAAGCAAAAAGTATCGCTATAGTTAATAAATAAAAAGTTTTATATGATGCAGGCTTTACCTGTGAGACTGTCTGATCGGTCTATGATTGTTGTGTATGTTCGATGTAACTGTAGATATTTAAACGAAAAATTGATATATATGAGTCATTAAATGTGATGTTTATGGTAAAATTCGTATGATCTGGCTGGTAGTCATCAGCCAGGAAAAAATGAATGTGATTTAGTTAGGAGAGTATAATTGTTTTCTCGACATTTTAGAAAAAGGTTTATTAAGATGCATTTTGGCCGATAACACGCGACGTTGTGCATAATATATTTTAGTTTTTTGTTTCTGTATATGTATACTACCAAGACTGAACAGTGTATAGTTTAATACAAACGAGAAAGCACGGTGATATTGTATTGTTTTATTCGTTAAAATCTGTTATATGTCGCGTGTTAGCGGCCGATCAAATCCATTTTATAAAAGGGGGCAACTACAGAGAACCGTCGACGGTTTTAAGCGTACTTTTTTTCTGTTCATAAATAATTATTTTTGTATAAAAAAAATGTTATCTGTGATATTTAATCATATATATTTGCGTCACATGACAAAAACAAGTTCGCCCAACCGATATAATCCTAGTCCCTCCTCATATCTTTCTTTAAGCAGAAATCATGCAGAGATGAAAAGAAAATTTAGAGGGAAAATAACCTATAATAACCTCAAACCTTTGAAATTAGAAAGTTACATAAACTACATAATCTACGTCAATTAACTACATGTAAATGTAGTTTATGTAGTTTTTATAAGGAACATGTAGTTTTCCGAACCCTGGTTTTAAGTCCCTAGATATTATGGAATATTGCAACAGACTGCCTTAATGTGTGACGTCACGTTAGTGGTCTTAGTTTAAAAACCTTTCCATACAAAGCACTAAATGCTGCACTTGAGTAAAGCATATTTATATTATTCACAATATAGGTTATACATTTAATTCTGTGATATAACAACGGGTATAACCAAAAACATCTATATAAAGGGAGACAAAAACGCGATCAAACATCGTTTTCAAGACAACAAAAAGCGTTGATGCCAAAATTCTTGATTGCCTTCGACTTGTGTTTGAAAACAAAGTACCGTATGATCGAATAAAAATGGCGTCAGCGATGGCTATGAAATGAAGATCGCTGTAATTTTATATGTAAAATTATATGGAGAATGTCAACGATGTTCATTTCCAAGCCAACTGGACGCCGTTTTTTTCGATCATACGGTATGTTATTAATGTTATTTGGAGTATCTATATATATATGTGTAGGTACATCATTTTAATTAAATACATAGATTATACCTGTGAAATTTTTATTTTTCTAATTAAAAATTAAATTAAAATTTATTGGGGAAGTAACTGTGACAACGCTGCTTCGGGAAGACTGTTTGGTTTCTATAGTTTTTACGATGAATAGTAAAAGGTTTTTCTTTGCAATAGAACTGTTTAAAATATTTTTAAATATCTAAAATGGTTTGCCAGTCCTTAGTTTACCAAAAATGGACTGTTTAAGTACTAAATTGATTTTTCGGCGGTAGGTGACGTTACTTATCTTTTAGGTTTAACATTGCTGTACCTAATTTAAGTTTTAAGTAGGTTATTACAAAAAGAATTATTGAAAATAAAATTATACCTATACGAGAAATAATTATTATATTACATTACATTATATAAGTTATAAATCAAAATTTAAACTACAATTACTTTTTGCGATTGTCGATAAAAAAACAGCACGCCACTGGTAGACCGAAAATGCAAAAATGCACACGAAACTCAACAGCGTTGCCATATTTATGTACCTATTTCTCTTTAACTCACATAAAACTGTTAAGCATAGAGTTTTATGAATGAATTGTTTTTGTCTCTCCATTATTAAGATGTCTTTGGGTATAACCTCACATTTCTTAAAACTACCAGATAATTTTCAAAATAGACTTTTTTCACTACCAGAGAATTCTTATAGGAAGGGTTTTTATACTTTCTTAATCTATGGACTTTACATAATGATTTTTGCGAAAAAATTCGCATTTACATAGAGTACAAACCACGTTTATACAGAATACCAAATCTGTGTTATCATAAAATGAATTTAAATCGACATATCAAATTATTATATCTTTAGTTCGAAGAATCCTGTATATTTTTCCTTCCCCCCCTGTATATAATATGAAACTCTGGCAAGTCCAAGTAAAAGACTCGACAATTATGATAGGTTTGAGGAAATTTCGCGTCGATGGTGTCGGTGAACGTTAGTTGCCCCCGGAATTTGAGGTTATGTCGTTCGGGTTTTGTAGGTTATGTTAATTTTCGACTGAATTCTTCCTATGCGGACCCGAAGCGTGCCTCCTATTGGTACAAATTTTAATTATTATAAATCTATGAAGCATTTTAGTTGGTGGGGTTCTTTTTTGCGAAATTTCAACCTTTTTTCGTATGTGATAGACAATGTACCCTTTGTTTTCGTGAGAAAGAACTGTACCTGCGATTTTTATCGATGAAATATTTATTTGTTTCCAAAATATCAGGTCTTTTTATGGGAGCTGATATTTTGTAACGATTTTATTTGTCGTATTATTATTTTGAGGTTAGTACTCTGCTTTTTTTCGAGTCCCACTTAACTTTTTTTGTACTATATATATATGAAATGCCTGTATATAATTATTATTATTATGTAGAAAATATAGCTTTAATTTTTCCTTCTCTAATGGTCGAAACAAAGCAGGGTATCCAGCCTTTTTTGCCAATGATCTACGATTGTAATCCTTTTAAAAATCGTTTCTTTTTTTTGTTCAATCACAATTTTTTATATTGTATTTTTAGTTAAGTTACTTTCGAAGTCTTAATCTTTTTTAATCGATTATAAAAATATTATTTTATTTTTTGCTGGTTTGTCGAAATCTGATTTTAATGCAATCATTTTTTTTTCTCGTTCATTTCGTTGATTAGAGTCGCAAAGACTTGGTCTCGTAATGTAGTATTTCCATTTCGGGTTAAAACCTATCTGGTACTTTAACGGAGACACGCATTTTAAGCTTTTGTTTTTTAAAATAGCAAGTAACAAATGTATTGGCTACAGAATTGTTAAATTTTTTATATAACTCTTAAGCCCAATAATAATTCGTGTATCGATACAACCCTTTAATTATTTTTAACTCTGATTTATCAAAAATTATTTCGTTTTTTTTTGTATTGCATGACTAAATTTTTGTATTTTTTTTATATCTGAGTAACAATTCTGTACAATGCATTATAACTTATTCTTAAGGTATGGTTTTTTACGTTTGTAGTAAAATTTATTTTGGATATTGTTGCTAACAGGGTGTTTTTTTAACAAATGTCTTGGTAAATATAATGAAAACAGGTTCTTTAGGATTATATGTACACTTCTAAAGAATATATAAGTTTCTAATAAGTACAATCGAAGAAGCGCAGAATTAATAATATAGTTCAGAATCAAAAAAGTGCAATTAACAAGATTATTCTCAAAAAAAAAACTATTGTGATATTTTTGTAAATAGAGAGAAGCAAAAATAGTTCAAAAATAACTTAGGTCTATAATTAATAATTCTCGATAAGAAGAAAAACTGTACATAAATCTTAAAAAGCCTGTGCACAATTTAATGTAGAAAGTACATGTATAGAGATGTAAAGTCATATTTAAATATACTATTAAGCAGAGCATTTTAAATCAGTTGTTTTACTTGCATTTCCTTAGATATTACTCCATAAAATTATATTAGTTAATGAATATGTGTAAAGAAAGTTTTTTACGTATAAAAAGTTAATTTTTATACCCATCCCTGATTTTGTCTATAGGCAACCAGTAAAACAATGTAATAAACAATTTTTATTTTCTATGGTAATTAAGTACACCTTTTGTCTGTGGTGAACTGTCAAATTGTCATATGTTTTGTTTATAAATAAAAAGTTTTTATTCTTTTTTTATATATATTTTAAGTTTCCTTTTAAAATTAGATAATTGTATTGTGTTTGTGAATGTAAATCTACCGGTTTGAATATGAAGACGCATATTAGAGACAGCTTGGGTCTTTGCGACCATAATATTTTTAGAGAAGTATGCGATTCTATGCCGAAAGATTCAACGATTCCCTTAAATTTAGTTACCGTTCGAGACTCCACGCTTTTTACTTGGGATTTTCAAAATAATTGCGTATTTTCCATACAAATTAAAGGAGCAAGGAATAAGAATGTCGAAAATATTCACCAGGTGAGTGTTGATGAAACCTACCTAACCTCATATTAAACGTTTTAGTTTATTAAATATCTATTTTAGTCATTCGAATAATAATCTAGGATACTAGATATATCTTTTGAGTTTTTCTACTTGTTTTACAGAAACTACTTCCATTACACCCTCCATTATTCTCGCCAACATCTCTGGTTTGTAATGAATCAAAAACTCTGTTGGCAGTCGTTGGATCCAATGGTATTTTAGTCCTGGAACTCCCTCATAAAAACTCGCCCTATGATAGACGTGATGATAACAAAGAAGTTATTTACTCCAGGTATATTTTATACTATAATTATAAATACTTACCGTATTAACCGTATTAGTGATTTTTTTTTGGACTTTTAGGAGTTTCAGCTTGGATGAACGCCTCCTTTCATGCAGCGATATAATTAAAGTTAATCAAGTAAAATTTCATCCTGGAAGCGTAGATGATTCTCATATTTTAGCCCTTACTTCGGACAATATGTTAAGGTACTATCTTGAAAAAGCCCCTACTATTTAATATTCTTTTTTTTTATTTAATTTAGATTATATCAGATAGAAAATAGAGAAGCAATAAATTTAGCAGTCTTTTCTGTGGGTGAAAAACCTAGAGGTATGTTCCCAGGGAGCAACACAGCATTTCTAGACATATATGGAGAAATAGCAGTTGATTTTGATTTTGGTTTTCCTGAAATAGTTAAGGAAACGTCAGTGTCTCAAATACAATCCTTAGTTCCTAGTGTTAGGACTCCAGGTATGGTATAATGTTTTAAAAATGTATTTTTATTAATAATATGAATTTTAGACAGGGAATTAATGAGTTTTAATAATAAATCAAGATCTGGAGTGAAGATAACACCCAAAATTTTTGATGAAAGTGATGGTATTGAGTCGAAAAACAACAAAAACGAAGAACTTATATGGCCAGTGTATATTTTGAGAGGAAACTGTGAAATCTATTCCATAAATATTAATTTAAAGAAAGGGTAAGTTTACTGCAGCTTGCTGCAACTTGCTTTGTTATTAATAATAAATGTTTTTAGGGCTAATTCAGCTTTGCGAGGTCCCTACAAAATATACGGTCAACCAAATTTTATAGACAGCGAAGAAGCTTGTACAATAATATGCCTCAAAACTGTACCAGAGATATTCTCTGTAGCTACATCAATTGGAACCATTACAAACTTGCTTCTCCTTGATAACAAATCTAGTGAGGTAAATAAATTATCACAATTTTTTTTTACTTTAGACATGAAATAACTATTTTTTAATTATTTTTACAGGACGACAATAGGCCAAGCATACTAAAATCTGTTCCTACAAAAGAACTTTTTGTTTTTGAAAGAATAGAGCTGGAACTATGGCTGAGTTTGCAACAGGATCTGAACGAGTCCGTTGTTAAATGTAAAAACTTTGTGTTTCTTCATAAAGATGAATCGAAAGTTTCTCAGTTTTTTGCCGTGCACAATGGCGGTGTCCATTCTGTCAACATCAGCTGCGTTGAGGAGTTACAAAACTATATTTTCGGACCTGAAGGTGAAAATTAATAATATGAAATAGTATAAAAAATGTTTATACTTCTGTGGCTGATTCATCTCTTCAAAAAAGTCTTATGGGTATTTGGCCACTGGCGATGAATAAATAAAAAAAAATATTCAAAGGGTAAAACAAGGGTAAAACCAAGCGTCAAACTTTCTGTATATGATTATTTTTTATTTGTTTTTAATGTTTTACTTATGTTCATTAAAATCAAAGAAGCGATAGCCATTTTAAAATAATACATTCATTATTTTCAGATAGTTCTCCAACTTCAGACATATTTATCCATCCCAGCACTGCAGAATATTTAGTTTGTACAAAAACAGCCAATAGCAATAAAACCAATACTGTCATAGGGTTCTCACTGTACTACCATCCCACTTCTGTTATAGTTCTCTTAAGTGACAGTAGCGTTATAACACTCGGTATTCTTTCTAGTCCTGTCATACGTAAAAGCGATGATAAGTTCACTAAAGAGGTTACTGACAATTTGGATGTTCAATCGCCATTAAAAAAGGTAAGAAACTAATGGTGCTTATTGTATTATCACAAAATTTTCTAACCATACAGAGATTATACAGGGTCGCTGATACGTATGGGAACGGTCGATTATTAGGTAAAATATACAAGGTACTGCAAAAAGTTATAGAGTGTTTAAATGTATAGAAGATAGAAGCACAGATTCGAGGTATATTATATGTATACAGATAAAAATCTTATCTAATTTGTGGTACGAAAATTGTTTTCTAAGGTGATGCGCAAACGAGTAAAATTTCCTGTGCGCAAAAATAAACTCGCGTAAAATAACAATAAACAGCGTAATTAGAGAGATATCGCTAAACCGAATAGCGTGCATGGACGTTAATAAGGCCAGGTGTTATTTCCTTTACGTTGAGGTGGTATTGACATTAACTCTCTTCATCTCCCTCTATGGTTTCAACTTATGCAATAGCTTTAAAGAAAAAAAAATCTGCAACATACTTTTTATTTATAATTTTTTTTCTTTTAGATGTTGACTGATTCTTTTGATGCATATATTCAAAAAATTTTGAAGAAGGCATCAAGTCAACCAATTTTGAAATTGTCTTCAGCCTCGAATAATAGCCCTGAAGAATGTTACGATGTAAGTATAAATATCACATTTCCTATATTATATACTTACCTGAAAAATAAATTTTATAATACCATACTATCGAAAAAAAAACGCCGTCATATTGGGCTGGAGAATGACAATCGATGGTTATTTTGGCCTTTTTTTATATTGAGTAAAATGATTTTTAAATAATGGCTTAGTTTAAAATTCGAGAAAAAATAATTTTTTGGAAATAGATTTGCGTGTCTGGAAACGTAACGACTGTTAATTTTTGACAAGTTTTATGTCAATTTTTAGTAAATAACGTGTAGAGATTGACCTCGTCAAAATTATGATCGATTGTCATCACCCAGCCGTCTTTGACACCGTTTTTTTTTCGATCATACTGTACTAAATCATTAATAAAAATAAAAAATAAAGACTTTGTTTAACACTAACATAATGCTAAATAAGAGTGTATTATGGAATTTTTCCGCACTGAAATGAAACTTCCCAACAAGCAAAATTTATATAATATATTATTATTATATATAAAATATTTATACATAAATTCGTTTTCCGAATCCGTCTTATTAGTATATTTAGTTGCCATTGTAACGGAACAAAAATCAATCTTCTGATTGACTAAAGAATGTTGATACGATATTTTCATGCAAAGAACTTGAAATAATATCAATGAAATTCAAATACATATATAACTTTAAATAAAACACAAATTACCAACTTTAGTTACACAAAACAACAAAAAGTCAGATGCTGGTACTCCAATTTATCGTTCTCCAACAACTGTACTCAACTAAAGTTGGTAGAAGTATGTTTTATTGCAAAAACTTGAAGCAGCATCAATAAAATTCAAATATATATATAACGATAAATAAAACACAAATTACCAACTTTAGTTACACAAAACAACAAAAAGTCAGATGCTGGTACTCCAATTTATCGTTCTCCAACAACTGTACTCAACTAAAGTTGGTAGAAGTATGTTTTATTGCAAAAACTTGAAGCAGCATCAATAAAATTCAAATATATATATAACGATAAATAAAACACAAATTACCAACTTTAGTTACACAAAACAACAAAAAGTCAGATGCTGGTACTCCAATTTATCGTTCTCCAACAACTGTACTCAACTAAAGTTGGTAGAAGTATGTTTTATTGCAAAAACTTGAAGCAGCATCAATGAAATTCAAATACATATATAACGATAAATAAAACACAAATTACCAACTTTAGTTACACAAAACAACAAAAAGTCAGATGCTGGTACTCCAATATATCGTTCTCCAACAACTGTACTCAACTAAAGTTGGTAGAAGTATGTTTTATTGCAAAAACTTGAAGCAGCATCAATAAAATTCAAATATATATATAACGATAAATAAAACACAAATTACCAACTTTAGTTACACAAAACAACAAAAAGTCAGCTGCTGGTGGTACGATCTATCATTTTTCAACAAATTTATTTTACTAAAGGTGGTAGAAAAAAGTACTAATATACAGGTATGTCGTAAAACACATCTAATAATAAACTTCCCAAATATTTGAAAATAGAATAGTTCGAGATGACTGCGACTCTCGATGCATAGCAACTGATGATATTGACGTTTTTATTATCTTTTAGTTAATTTTGACGTTTGAAATTGCCAAATTTTAAGTAGGTACTGACATTTTTCCCTAAAACATGAATACAATAATTAATAGTAAGATTAACATCAAAAATACAAATTCAAACACTCCTCATAATTATTATAATGAACGTGGACAAAGTATAGTATTCAACTCGCAATTTATAGCCATTATTCACTCGGGTGTTATGCAATAAATGTTTATTTTTCAGTTATTACAAACAGCTAGTCAGATGTTCAGAGAAAAATACTTTCCTCAATTTAATAAAGTACGTGATGAGCTGGAAAAAAGAACCCACACGTTAAAATTGTTAAAACAAAGCCAGAAAGAAGAACTGGAAAAGATGAGCGTAGCCAAAACGGAACTCAGAATACAGGCAGGAAATTTGGCAGAAAAATACGAGGATCTCAAAGACAAACAAGATGAACTTTTGACAAGGTATTGTATATTGTTTTAAATTACTAAATATTATTGAAATAATATTATTTTGATATTTTTTCAGGTGTGAACAATTGTTAATGATGGTGTCTCGAAAAAAACTGGAAGCCTCAGATGCAGAAAAGAATTTTATGGCTGATCTACAGAGTTTCGGCCGTAATTCTGTCGTTTATGACAAGACTGTTAAAAATTTGGAGAAAAAATGGCAATATCAACAACTACAAGTAAGTATTTTCATAAAATTGCATTTTTTTTGAACTTCCTTTTTTTTAATTTCAATTTTTCTTCTATGAATTTTTTAAATATTTTTTGACGAGTATTTTTAAGCATTTTTTTTGTTTTTTTTACAGATTGAAAAATGGAAGTCAGATGAGGCCAAGAAAGTTACAAACATCAGTGAAATTCAAGCTGCTACAATCAAAAACGCTTTACAAGAATCGTAAGTAATAAAAAACGAGAGTTTATTCAAACATCCCGTATATTTTTCAATATACAGAGTGACTCATTGTTCTAAACAAATTTCCAGTTCAGGTTTTCAATAAGACCTTTTTTTTATAAAATAGGCTGATAATGGTAGTGCGAGTTTTAAAATATTTTTATAGATTATACAGGGCGGTCCAAGTATATTTTTACACTAAAATAATTGTAGGTTTTTAAGCGAATAATGTACGTTTTTTTGCTTAGTGGATTTGTCATAAAATTACGATTAAAAAAATACTGTAATGTCAAAATTTGTGCCTAATGCTTTTTGAAATACGGTATTTTGGAAAAGGAATTTTATGGGAAACCAACTGAGCCAAAAATATATATTATTTTATTTAATCACTCTGTATATGTATGAAAAAAAATAATAATATATGCGCTATTTTTACTGGTATATTTTGTGAAAATGATTGGCTTGAAAATCTCAATAATAATAATTACTATTTTGGAATAATGAATCACACTGTAGATTAATATTTTTCATATTACAATTTTATGCTTAATTTTCTTTTGGCTAATTCATTTTTTTTTCAATTTCAGGTCACAAAAAATTCAGGAAATGATCAAAGAAGTGCGGCAGTTTAAGAAAAAGTTTGAAAAATAAGAGGAAGAAGTACATTATGTGAAGCTGAAGTGTCTTTCTTTTTGTAAATAAAAAATATGGCATATATGGTTATAATAAATCATAGGATCGAAAAAAATCGGCGTCAAGTTGGCTTGGAAATGACGGTCGATGACATTTATACGCCACCTCTGACCGTTTTTTTCTCGATCGTATGGAATATGCAGAAATTCAGTATACATATTTTTTCTTTCTTAAAATCAGTTATTGTTAGGTTTTTTGTAATAAACTAAATACTAATCCACCGAAAATAAATTGCGTCATAGTAGCCGTCAATTGTACAAAAATTATCATGAATAATATTTTCATAGCCTGCTCTGATGCCGTTTATTTTTACTGAAACAAACTACCATATAATCGAAAAATAAAACAACGTCGTAGTAGGCATGGAAACCCTGGAAAAAAATGGCGTCATAGTAGGGATCGATTCGACAAAAATTACCATAAATAGTTATTTCAAAGCCTTCTCTGATGCCGTTAATCTTTACAGAACAAAATACCAAAATTGAAAAATAAAACAGCGTCATAGTAGGCTTGGAAACAACGGCAAAAAAATGACGTTATAGTCAGTAGGGGTCGATTCCACAAAAATTATCATAAATAGTCATTTCAAAGCCTTCTCTAATGCTGTTAATCCTTATAGAACAAAATACCAAAATGGAAAAATAAAACAGCGTCATAGTAAGCTTGGAAACCACGGAAAAGAAATGGCGTCGTAATAAGGGATCGACTCGAAAAAAATTATCATAAATAGTCATTACAAAGCCTTCTCTGATGCTGTTAATCCTTATAGAACAAAATACCAAAATCGATAAATAAAACAGCGTCATAGTAGGCTTGGAAACCACGGAAAAGAAATGGCGGCATAATAGGGATCGATTCGAAAATAAATATCATAAATAGTCATTACGAAGCCTTCTCTGATTCTGTTAATCCTTACAGAACAAAATACCAAAATCGATAAATAAAACAGCGTCATAGTAGGCTTGGAAACCAGGTAATATTAATTTGCAAGCCTGCTGTAATGCTTTTTATTTTTAGAGAAACAAAGTACCATATGACCGTAAAGAAACGTCATAATAAGCTTTGAAATTACCATCGATGTTAATTTTTGTTGAATCAACCTCTACTTGACACCACTGATTAAATATAGACATAAAAAATTAATATTGAATATAGAAAAAAGGAGAAAGCAAGAAAGGATATGATCGAAAAAAAAACGGTGTCAGCAATGGCTATGAAATGAAGATCGCTGTCATTTTATATATAAAATTATATGGGATATGACATCGATGTTTATTTCCAAGCCAACTGGATGCCGTTTTTTTATCATACGGCATTTATAACAAAATCTACATAAATATACTTTTTTTCTATATTCTTTTTTAATAAATAATGTTTATTCCAAGCCTGCCGTGACGCTGTTTTTTATCACACTATATTAAATACAATCTTTTTAGGAGTTAAAGTACTTTGAGTTAAACTCAACATTTTCTTGTTTGTTAAATACATTTTTCTGATTTTTATTATTACAGAATAAAGAGCAAATCAGTTTTGTAATAGTTATGTCTTTATTTTTATAAAATTATGTATAGTTGTTTTTAGTTAAGGCTTAGAATTAATTATATCAGATGTAACCATTTTTGAAAATAAATTGATATTTAAAAAATACTTGTTTTATTTTATCTATGAAATAGTCAAAGAAGTGATTAAAAATAAAATTTATGTATCAAAAATAATTGACACTTAAAAATACATGTGTATTACTGGTTACCAGAACACATTTTAATACGAATTTTTATATAAATATTTAAAGTTGGTTAAATATCTATATATCATATAAAAATTATGGACTATAAAGTGAAAATATTTATTCAACTTCTATGCAATCCCGCCAAAATAACGCTCATTTTAATTCCCTTGAATTTCAATGCAAAATATACCTACATTTGCTGACTCTAGCACTTCGACCTCGTTTTCAAACTTCAAAAGGGCATATCTCCTAAACTATAAGAGATACAGGAGGGTGCCATTAGGGTTTTCGATAGGGAATTTCACCCTCTACCCCCTGGCAAAATTGGAGTTTTTTTGGCAGCACTTTAAAAAAGTGGTCAAAAATTTTCTAAGGCTATAGCCTTAGAAAATTTTTGCCCCAAAATATAAAGTACGTCCAAAAGGGCTCTAATTTTGCATACAGATAGAGAATTTAATTCTCTATCGAATGACGTAATTAGTTACGCAATATCTTAATTAGTTTCAGAGTAATTAGCGTTTTTATAAAAAAATCTAACACTTCTAACTCGTTGGTCTCGTTTTAAAAATTAATTTATTTTAGGAATAAAATTTTTATTAATATTTTTCCTTCACCATTTTGTCAAGAAAGTATAAAATATTTCGAACAATTTTGTACGTGTTTATTTAAAATTTTCTTAACATAGACAAACTATAATTCTGTTTTAATAATTTTTGATGTATAAAAGCGTTATTAGCAGTTACTTATTTCAATTATTTAAGATTATCTATTTGAATTCAGGCAACCAGTAATTTCATAAGGAATAAAATTTAATAGAATATATTTTGAATTTTTCCTATCTCAGTAATTCTGTTTGAAACTTATATTTATATGTTATACAGGGTAAAATTAAACAGTGTGTTGTTATTGTATATATTTATTTCGACTTCTAAAAAAGGTATTACAGTATGAAAACTTAAAAACCTTGAGAACTATGATATTAACATGTACAAAATTGATCAGCTCCCTTGATGATGGCATATGAAGAATCCAAGCTTCTTCTGCTTGAACAAAATTCGTGTATCTGTAAATCACCAAAAAAGAATACATTAAATCACAGAGATTTAAAATTATTTTTTAAATTCTTATAAGGTATAATTTATCATAGTTTACATATTCTTTCAATAATAGCAATAAAAAACGTTTAGCATAACACTTATTTATGCATTTTTGGCACGTCTCAGGAAAACAAGATCTGCATAAAAAGATGTAAAAAACTATTTTTATTTTTTAGCGTCTGGGATCATGTTTTTTAGTCTTTTGCGGATCTTTGTTCTTGATTTTCAAGTCGTGTCCTAAGATTTGAATTTTTAGTAGTGTTTTTTAAGTTGGATATATCGAAATGGGTAGAAATATTCTAATATGGATATTTTTTCTATTATTATTAGTTTGGAAGTATATAAAAGTACTTAAAAATTATATCAGATGTGTTATGTTTAGTGCATTCCTACCAGGTCCTGAAGGATTACCTTTTTTAGGGAATATCTTGACTTTAAAAAATAGTGACCGTAAGTTTTTTATATACTATTTTTTCAAAAAATATGTTTTTAATATACAGGGTGTTTTAGGAAGTTAACATGTGCACGTTAACCTCACGTAAAAATAAGATTTATTTTCTATTTTTTGTATCAACATAGGTCCGATTCTGCTTTGTTTCGTATCTACAGGGGGTTAAGGTCTTATATTTTTTTCGATTTATTATAATTTTCTTCCAAGTGTTTTTAGTGATTCGAATGACATTTTGAGGGTAAATGTTATTATAAGTGCTACAATTTTAATGCTAAAAAAGTGTAGACAGATTGTGATAACCCCTATGCACGTCCCTGGTGAATTTATGGACACATTTTTACCATTAAAATATGTAGCACTAAGAGCAACTTTTACTCTCAAAACTTCATTCGAATCGCTAAAAAATAGACTTTAACCCCCTGTAGCTACGAGAAAAAGCAGCGTCGGACCAATACTGATATAAAAATCAATCTTATTTTTACGTGTGGAATCTCCTCACGAGAGATGGCGCATATTTTTTTGAAACGCCCTGTATAAAGTCATTATAACTATTTAAAGAGAGAGAGAGAGAGAAAACTCGTAGTTCAAAACTAGCCTGTATGTTAAATTAAATAGTAAACGTCATCGATTGTCATTTCCAAGGCTACTCTGACGCTGTTTTTTTTCAAATGTTAAAGTCAAAATTTTTTTTATTTTATTTTTTTTTATTTTTAAATTCTAAAATACATAGGTACCTACCGAAAAAAAATTCTGTTTTAGGTTTAGTAGATTTAGGAACCAATGCTTCTCAGTACTTTGGTCGAATATTCAGAGCTTGGGTACTCTTCCTGCCTTTCGTATTCGTCTATGAACCGGATGACTTGAAGATCATTTTGTCGAATTCAAAAGCTTCTGAAAAAAATTTCTTGTATTGTATCATGCATACTTTCATTGGGGATGGATTGATAACAAATAACGGTAAATTTTAGAATTTTATGAACTAAAAAATACACCGGGTGCGTCTCAAAAGGTGGCTCACCCCTATAACTTTTTTATTTTTTCAGTTAAAAAAAAACGAGATTTGGTATGTTAGTATATGACATAAATTAAAATTGATTGACGTTTTCGGTCACTTCCTGTTTCACCGGAAATGACTACAACTTTTAATTTTTAAATAGCCCCTAGGTATTTTTTTGCTTTATTCGATAGAAAGTAACACTCTGAATATAATGACATATCATATTATGTCAACTTTAGACATTTTCGTATATGGTTTATTTGAAATTATAACTTGCGGTTCGTAACGAAAATTTGATTCGAAATACCAAGTGTGTGGTATCAAATTATTCGTAAAAAAATGCTTTTTCCAAATTTGCTAATGAGCCACCCTCGTTGCATTTGAAAAAATCGAGATACGATTAAAAATACGATTTAAGCATTTTCTAACTAGCCAGGACAGACACTCAAAACATTAGACGATCAAATCTATTTTTCCAAGGCTCCTTGATTAAGATTTAGTGTTTTTAACATACCCATGGCACTCTAGATTGAATTTTAAAATACGTTTTTTATTAAACGAGAATATCAAAAGTTGACATATGATATGTCATTCTATTTAGAATGTCGTTTTCTATCGAATAAAGTAAAAAAATACCAATTTAACAATCAAAAGTTGTAGTCATTTCCGGTGAAACAGGAAGTGACAGAAAACAATTGAATACGTCAATCAATCCTAGTTTATGTCATAACCTTAGGTACTAACATATCAAATCTCGTTTTTTATCTGAATAAATAAAAAAGTTATAGGGGGTGAGCCACTTTTGAGACGCACCCGATATACAGTGTTCCAAAGAAGCTCTATATAAAGTTTCTTAACTGGAATTTTTGATTGCAATAATACCATACCATCGAAAAAAAAATGGCTGGGGAGTGAGTTAATATAGAGTAAAAATGATTTTTTGGAAATATATTGGTGTGTGAGAAAACGTCCAATCCTTTTTAATTTTCCTATAATTAGTGTTGAATTTTGGCAAGTTTTAGGTAATTTTTGATAATTTTTAGTAAATGATGTCTAGAGATTGACCTCGCTAAAATTATCATCTATTGTCATTCCCCAGCCATCTTTGACGCCGTTTTTTTTCGATCATCCAGTATAATTGAGTGATATATGTTTTAGTTTATCGTCTTGATAAATATTTCAGGTGGAAAATGGAAACAAAACAGACGCCTCGTACAACATTATTTCCAAATACATTACATTGAAAATTACTTTGATATTTTTGCAAATATCTCCCAAGAATTTACGGCAAATTTATCGACTAAAAAGTGCGTAAAAATAACGGAATTCGTTAATTCCCTTGTACTTAATATTCTGCACAGTAAGTTTTCAAACTTTTAATATGCAAGTCATTGTTTTATTTGTTTATATTTCATTGTGTATCTTTACAGAAGCAGTGCTAGGAATTTCATCGACAGATGACAATCCGTTTAGAAGGTAAATATTTACATTCCAATGCAATTAAAATTAAAATATACAGGGTGCTTATCTCAAACGACAAAGATTTTTCAAAGGAAACTACAAATTAACCACATTTTAGAATTATTTGGCGCTCTACAGGCGGGTCTCTACCGCGTGCCTCTCAAAAGTGGCTAGGAATTTATTTACTTTATTTGATAGAAAATTACATCCTGAATAGAATGTCAATTTTTGACATTCTCGCTAAATAAAAAATTGTATTTTAAATTTCAATCTAGAGAGCCATGGCTATGTTAAAAACACTAATTTGTAATCAAGGAGCCTTGGAAAAATAGATTTGATTGTCTAATGTTTTTAGTGTCTTGTCCTGGCCGGTTAAAAGATACCCAAATCGTATTTTTATTCATATCTCGATTTTTTCAAATGGAACGAGGGTAGTTCATTAACATTTTTGGAAAAAGCATTTTTTTACGAATAATTTGATATCACACACTTGCTATTTCGACTCAAATTGTCGTTATGAACCACTTGTGACAATTTCAAATAAACCATATTCGAAAATGTCAAAAGTTGATATATGTTGACAAAAGTTGACATATGTCACTCTATTCAGAATGTCATTTTCTATCGAATAAAGTAAATAAATTCCTAGGGTGTCATTTAAAAATCAAAAGTTGTAGTAATTTCCGGTGAAACAAGAAGTGACCGAAAACAATTGACGACGTCAATAAATCCTAATTTATGTCATATACTAACATACCAAATCTCGTTTTTCTAACTGAAAAAATAAAAAAGTTATAGGGGTAAGCCACTTTTGAGACGCACCCGGCATAGTCAATAAGAATCTTAAAAAATAAAACTTGAAACTTACGTAGGTAACGTAGGTAGTGGCAACACTGCAAGGTTTCTGAGGTACTAAATTTTTTTTTATTTCCCAAAAATATAAAAAATTGGAAAATTTTTAACAATTCTTTTGCAAAAAAACTTATGGGCCTGTTTCTGTGATAATACTTGAACATATTTAAAGACACCCTATATATTAAAGTATTTTTGTAATCACCCTATATATTAATTGTGTTAAAGTGGCAAATAGGGAATCAATTTGAGCTGAGATCTTGCTTTAAAGTTATAATGTATTTAGAGGTGAACTTCTTATACTCAAGAGAATTCTAAAACCCTGGTTATTGTTGGAAACCGTTTTCAAACATTCAGATATGTCAAAAAGAGAGAGGAGACAAAATATTACGCTTCACCAGTATGTAAAGAAGGTACGATTTATTTTTTTTAGGTTTTAGATCACATGGTATATTAAGCTAGAAATTTTTTATAGGTTTTAAATGAGAGACTTTGCGAAAGGAAGAAGAAAAAAATAGTTACTTCTCCGTCACTCTTGGACTATTTCATTGAATTGATGGAGACCACACGATTTTCTGAGAAGGATGTTGTTAATGAGAGTGTAACGTTCATGTTAGCAGTAAGATTAAAACTACACTACATATCATAGCAATTATTCTAGAATTTGCACCATAAAAATACACTAAAATCTAAATGAAGTAAAATACCTTTTTGGACTGACATTACGCAGGGGCTTTCTGGGTCACTAAAATTCAAGATGGAGGCCTTTTATAAAATGGCGGCGGTTCATGTCGATTGTCATTCTTTGAGAGTGTGTTTCAAACCGGGTCTGTGTCTTTTTTTATCCACCTCAACAAGAACGACAGTTGACATGAACCACCAAAACTCAAGACAGCGGCGATCTTGAATTTCGGTGGTTCCCTTAGCCCTTCTACTGGCGACTCTCGAATTTGAGACACCCTGTACATTCGAAACATTGTGTAAAACTTCAAAATTTCGACATACAATATCACTCCAAGAAGATATATTGTATTTCAAGGAAGGTTTCCTTCCTAAGTATATTGAATATATTTTTACTTCTTGTAATTTTTTTTTAATTTTCTCAATAAGATAATAAGATAGATTTTCTATATCTTATAAAATATTTATTTAGGGACAAGATTCTGTAGGAGCTACCATTGCTTTCACTCTTTACTATCTGGCTAAACACCAAGACATCCAAGAAAAACTCCTGAAAGAGATTACTGATGTCTCTCCTGAGAATGTTCCTTATAGCTTGGATCAAATCAACAGAATGACATATTTGGAGCAATGTATCAAAGAAACTATGAGACTGGCTCCGAGCGTACCAATAATATCCAGAGTTCTGACCAGTGATATTGTTTTAGGTGCGTTAATGTAATTTCGACGCTTACTGTGACGTAATTTTTTATTTTTACATTTTTTTAGATAACTACACATTACCAGCTGGTTTGAATGTATTTATATCACCCTTCATTACGCACAGATTGCCTCACATTTTCAAAAATCCCCTAAACTATGATCCTGAGCGATTTTCTTCTGAAAATTTGAAGAAAATACCTTCACATGGGTTTATACCTTATAGTGCAGGCCCTAGAAACTGCATAGGTGAGTTCTTTAGTTTATTATCCTTTAGAAACCTTGTATAATATCTCTAATTCATTAAATAAAGAACCTATACTATATAATCATCAACTGATGTTAGGTCTATTCGTTTTCCTGTTATTATCGATTCTGAATCGTCCTAGAACTCTCCAGCGCATGCGCAAACAAAATAATGTCTTCATATTTCCTTCTGCGCATGCGCATCACAATTTTAGGACGGTTCAGAATCGGTAATAACAGGAAAACGAAAAAAGCTATTGTAGCACTAAACAATAATTTAACTAAAAATTTGATACAAGGTATCTCACTGTTATGATACAGTTCAGACGAGCAATAAAATATAGCACTCTATTCAAAAAACTACAAATTTAGTGTATAGTCTATAAAATGAATAACTTTGAATTTTGACCGTTATTTTTTACCAACATGGCAAATATAAAATCCCTCTGTCAAAAAAGTTACTGCTATTCTTTAAATTGAGTGCCTGAACGAATCAGATAGGTAACTCTTTTTACTTTCGTGAAGTAGAAAAGGAAAATAATAAAACAAGTGACAGTTCTTCCTCTTCTTGCAAAAATCAACACGAAATGTCATAATTGTCAAAAGTAAAATGTCATCAGCTTTTCATATTTCTAAATATCAGACCAATGCCGTCTCTAGTAGAACAGCCTCGGAGCGAGATTTATGACGTCACGCTAGTTAGATACTACGGATTAATAAATATGTTGTAGAATACATGGAAAACATAATTATTCCTCGTATTTTTGGTTTGTATTTTAAAAATGATATAGTTTAAATGAAATATACATAATATACAGTTAATAAATACAATATAATATATACCTATTTATAGTAATAAATACTTTGGCAAATAAACTATGAACCATACAAATGCAGCAAATGTTTTACAATATACAAATAATGAATAGGTGGTACATAAGATAATGGGTAAAATGTAAAATATATTTTAAATTTTGGGGTTTTAACAAAAAACATTCAATATCTACTAATAGTGATGTATTATTATTTGCAATCACAAAATTTATTATTATATTATAATGTTTACTGCAATTAATAAACTAATATAAACTTGTCAAAAGATGACCACATATTTTTTTAAATTATTATTCTTAATACAAAAACTATCTACATTGACTATGGAGTACGATTTCAGCCATATTGTAAAAACATTTGCTGCATTTGTATGGTTTATAGTTTATCTGCCAAAGTATTTATTACTATAAATAGGTATATATATTGTATTTATTAACTGTATATTATGTATATTTCATGTAAACTATATCATTTTTAAAATACAAACCAAAAATACGAGAAATAATTATGTTTTCCATGTATTCTACAACATATTTATTAATCCGTAGTATCTAACTAGCGTGACGTCATAAATCTCGCTCTGAGGCTGTTCTATTAGAGACGGCATTGCGTCAGCATGGCCGCAAGTTGCTAACCTAATAAAATTAACACTAGAAAAGCCCGCGGGAACTGTCAAATTCAAAGTTATTCGTTTTACAGACTATAAGAATCTATTTGAATCACTTTGTATATCTGTGAAAATATAAAATATATTAAGTCTAAATATAAGTAAGTCTTAATACGTACAGAATATGGCCTATATACAGGCTGTCCCAATATTCCGTGGACATAGAACTACTATGTACTTTTGGAATGAAAATAAGTTAATTTGACTCAGTTACACAAGTGCTTCGTTTGTCCGCTAGAGCTTACTGTCTATGCTGTCAAATATCATTTGTGATGCTAATTAATAATTTATTATGTATTTTAGGATACAAATTTGCCTACCTGCAGATGAAGACCATTCTTGCAACACTGATCAAAAACTATCGTTTTAAACTGATCCCTGGAAAAGAAAATCTTTCATTTAAATACAGGGTAACCCTAAGGGCTAAAGCGGGAATATTCTTGGAGATAGTACCTAGAAGTAAAATATATGTAGATTAATATGCATAACTTTTTTTATCAGGATTATAGGAGGTATGCATAATGTATATGTATGAATAAATGTTTTCACACTTATTTCTTTACGCCCTGTATATAACCTAAAACTTCCACCGCAAAAATCCTAAAAGAATAATACTCAGTAATCGTGCAATATTATTATAATATTATTAAATTAAATATAAATAAGATTTAAATAAAATTGATAAAATAAATGTATTTTTTATTTAAGAATCTTCATTTCAAACTATAGTTTATCTAGCAAAAGAAAATATGACAGTGTCATTTGATATATTATGTCATCTTAATTAAAAAATAAATTGTTTCTTTTGTTTTTAACTAGATAGACTATAGCCATTATAGTCCATCACAAAATATAGATAGTTCTTTTCACGAAACTTTTCCCTTATTTTATTACTTACTTAAATTTTGAATATTGTTTTGACAATTGTGAAAACAAGGAAAATTATTGTGAGAAGAACCATATTTTTATTAAAAAATTGTATCTGGTGCCTAAAGTCTGTCCAAGAAGAAAATACATGACAGGAACAGTTATACCCGGCATTTGAATTCAGAAGTAAATTGTAGGTATTTCTTATCAATTTTTGGTAATGTCATCTGTCGAAATATCCCTTCACTCGTTGGACAGAGTTTAGATAAAATGTCTTACCTTCATTCGTAACTGACGTAAAAAACGTCAAAATCGGAAAAATCAGTAACTTCTTCTATTTACAGGGTGGCGCACCTCATTCGTCTCGGTTGATTATACGAAAACGGAAATATGTAGAAACAAATTTTTTTGTGGGTATATGTAGAGGAGCAATGTGCGTAATTTAAAATTATTTTCAAATGTACGGGGCGTGTCAGAACTAATATCCATACCAAAGTTATATTTTTTCTTATGGAACATCCGGTATTTTATTTAATTTTTGAATTCTTGCACCGCAATGGGCCTCAAATATGGCCGACTTAAATTCCGGTTTATCAGTGTCGTTCTAATTTTATTTAAAAAATGTAAAACTATGATGTAGGGTAGACGTGGGGTAGACTCAATAATTTGTTGTTTTATTTTACGTTGTGAATAAATGTTGGTGGTTATTAAAATTGTTATAAAAAAATATAATTCTAATAAAAATAGATAAGTTATAATAAGTATTTATTACCACAAACATCCGATACGCTACTGAAGCAGGTAAGTCAAATTAACGTATCTAAATTCTTTGACATCTAATCTTTGACAAGTAATAAATAAAAGCTAAAATGCAAGAAAAATATATAATTTAGTTAATTTAAGTGAATTTCATAAATGATCGGTTTACTACACGTATGTATATTATATAGTCACTTACTAGCGAAAAGTTGTTCCATTATTTCACTCAATTTTTGCCGAGATCTACCGCACGCTACACAACCAACTATTTTAGAGTCTTTTTCGATAAATCGCGATAGTGTCACTGTTAATTTAAGTGCTGCCACAATTTCCCTCTAGATTTACTACCTTTATATAACTATCAGTAGTAGAATAAATAATAAATAACATAAAATAAGCTCCTTAAAGACTGACAAATCCACAAAATTTCAAATCAAATTCAAATGTGTCAAATGAATCGTTAAACAGAACTGTCAAGGATCCCCACCCTAGAGTGCTTTTATGGCGCTTTTTCCGCCCACCATGCTTGAATACATGGATAGCATTATGCTCCTTCCTTAGTCTTCTTATTCAAAGATTATAACAAATGTTACTTTCCTGTAACAGAAATGATTTGATATATTAAAAAAAATATATAAATCAAAAGTCTTGTTAGGTTAGAAATCAAAAACGATTTATTTAAAATAGATTTTTTATTTCGTAACTCGCACATATAATCTCTCAATAAAAATATATAGTTCTCGAGACATAACAACTGATTACCACTAGGATCACTAGCAGAGGTCAACACAAAAATAAAATATATCTCTATACTCAATAATAAATATAGGCTACAAACTAAGTTAAGTCACTTTATCTTTACACCACTCGACAGAGGGCGCTGTCATCGAGTCAGCGACGTCAGCATAAAAAGGCCGGGGTGACGTCACAGATCAGTACAGATTTCCGAGAGGTAACTTTGTTAGGTTAGGTTTTGGGATTGTTCCAAAAAGCTGCGGCTCTTCTAAAACTGTCGTTCCTACTCCTGTTCAATTTGGGAGACTTTGGACTGTCAGGACTACCATTTTTTGGCGTCTCTAACTGATGTTTGTTCCTGTAAAGTTCATTGGCTTGTTCCTTATTGATCACAGCCTGAGTTTTTCTTAGCAGGCTTGGAGAAGGGCTGCGATACCTCACAGTGGGTTTTCCTGTTTTGAACAACTCACCACCATCATCAATTTGAGTCTTATTCTCCAATTTCTGCACTAAGCGGTCTATCTTCGATTGGCGAGTCTTCGTTGGTTCTTCGTTGATAGTTATTTTTGGTGGTCTGGAGGTAGTTCTGGGGGTTCTAGCAGGATCCTGGCCGATCCTGCTTAGAACAGGGGATTTAGGGGGTAAGGTTTTGATATTAGAGCTTTTTCTGTACAATTGTGGTGAATGGGTTACTAGAATAATTGGAGAAGATGATTCTTCAGGTGGTGGTGAAGTTTTGGTGATTTGGTGGTCGAATTTCTTGATGGTGTTGGCTACAGTGCGGGAGGTGTAGATTGGTAGTCTTTTTAAGCTCTCTGACGCAGGCTGGGGTTTACCTGTCAAAATAATAATACTTATTATTATATTGATGTTCCTGAAAGTTATATAAAAAGTAAATAAATAAATACAGGGTTGTTCACCACATACGACACGGAGTATTGTAGCTAAACGATGAGATTTTTGAGACGATTTTGAGACGACAAATTGTAAGTTTTGGGTTCGATGAAGGACTATTAGAGGTACAATTTAAAAATAATTTTACAAGATACAGAGTGTCCCAAATAAGTAAAAAATATCAAAGTTGTATTTTTTTAAATGGAACACCCTGTATATTATTACATTTTTAGTTTCTACGATTAAAATAAAGGTAAATTTGATTAAGATTTATTATACTTAAACCTTACCGTTTTTGAAATATTTTCAATTTTGTGAAATTGCAGTAAAAATTTTAAGGCTTCATTTCTCCAAGGGTATCAAAGTTTTTAATACTAAATATTTACTGAAGTTTATTTACTGATCAGTTATAGTGTTGCAATAATAAAAATAATACTACCTTATACAGAGTGTCTAAAAATTTATTTTAAATAATTATTAGCTTCAAACGGCAATAACTTGTTTAATTTAAATGAAACACCCTGTATATTTTACGAGAATCAGATGCACAATTTAATTGTCTATCAAATTATATTATACCATTTTTTACCTATCTCTTTAAGTTTCCGTAGAAAATGCATTTTCTTGTAATTTAGAACTTATTTATACCCATGGACTATTGACATTTTAGATTATTTTTAAAGATGTACCAAATTTTTAAAGAGTACAGATACTAATATTGCCGATATAATTCGTTTATTTCATTAAAAAATAAAAAAAAACTGTTTAAATATTTGGTAAAGAGGACCAATTAATATGATTCCAGTATTCAAACTACATTAACTGACTGTTTGTGTTGATTAATAATGATTGCTCCAAATACTAAAAAACTGAATTTTGTATGGGCATTAGACAGTGTGATAAAAAGTAACACCTTAAAAATGATATTTCATTTTTTAATAAATGCTTATTTATAACAACAAAGACTTTAATTTAATAACTTATTATTATATTGATTTCTGACTCAAAAATCCACATTTATTTATAATAATTTATTATCGAACACATTTAAGTATGTCATTAATTAGTATATGGGCGGAAATAATGGTGTTATATTTAATTAATGGTATACTCTTTTATAAAGATTTAAATAGTTTTCTTTTTGTATATAAATGGGTTAGTAATATTATCGTTTTGCTAAAACGATAATATTACTAGTCTGTACATTTTGTACATTTGTTGCTTTAAAACAATCTAAAATGTCAATATTCCATGGATATATTGATAAATGAGGTCTAAATTATAAGAAAATGCATTTTCTACGAAAACTTGAAGGGATAGGTAAAAAATGGTATAATACAATTTGATAGACAATTTAAATGTGCATCTGACTCTCCTAAAATATACAGGGCATTCCATTTAAATTAAAGAAGTTATTGCCGTTTGAAGCTAATAATTATTTAAAATAAATTTTTAGACACTCTGTATAAGGTAGTATTATTTTATTATTGCAACACAATAACTGATCATTAAATAAACTTCATTAAATATTTAGTATTAAAAACATTGATACCCTTGGAGAAATGAAGCTTTAAAATTTTTACTGCAATTTCACAAAATTGAAAATATTTCAAAAACGGTAAGGTTTAAGTATAATAAACCTTAATCAAATTTACCTTTATTTTAATCGTAGAAACTAAAAATGTAATAATATACAGGGTGTTCCATTTAAAAAAATACAACTTTGATATTTTTTACATATTTAGGACACTCTGTATCTTGTAAAAATATTTTTAAATTGTAGGTCTAATAGTCCTTCAACGAACCCCAAACTTACAATTTGTAAAAATCTCATCGTTTAGCTACAATACTCCGTGTCGTATGTGGTGAACAACCCTGTATATTCTTCGAAAAACTGATATTTTTTTGAAAGTCTCTGTATGCAAGGTGTCTTATATAAGAAGGCACACTACAGGGGTCTTGTCAAACTGGAGAGATACAAAAATGATTAAATTAGAGAAAAATATTATTTGAGAAAAAACAATTTTTTCGATTTCGTTTCTTATCTTTCTCTGGCGTTTTGTTTCTTAGGAACATCATCAACTTTATTTTTTGTGAATACGGACCTGATTTTTGATTCCTGATATGACCTTCCCAATGCAATGATGTATCACACATCACATTTACTCAAAAAATGCTGCTTGTTTTTTACACCCATTATATTACAAACATTTTTTTTCCTATATTATTAATTGTAAAGGTCAATTTATAAACTGAAAACGTTGCGGTTCGACGCCCGACGTTACGGTCGGTAAAAAGTTTGTTTATACGCAAGATGTTTTGTTGATTATAAATTTTTCGGTTGTTGTTGCGGTTGACGTTTTACGTCAAAAATTAACCAATTTTTAACTTCGACAGGAACGTTGACCTTGAAACGTTAGTAATAGCCAATAGAAATAATCGCAACCGCAACGTCGAACCGCACCGTTTTCAGTTTATAAATCGACCTTAATTGGAATGCCATAAGCCCTTCGTGAAAAATGAAATAGAACATTCAGGTTGGTATTTAAAAGAATAAAGTTGGTGAATTAAAATTGAAACGTCAGATTGTAAATCTAATAACATCAGCTTGTCATACTTTTTCAAATAGAGTCAGGGTTTAGCCTAAATTGTTCCGAATATTTTGGATTACCCGGTATAAAAACACCCTATTTTTATTTCTTGTAAAATAAAAGTTGTAATAATAAATAATAGTAAACTTGAAATAAAGATATATAAATAACTAACATCAAACAACAACAAAGCAAACTAAAAAAATCTTACCTTTACCAACTGCACCATTGAAACTCTCAAATTTATTACCTAACTTCCCAGAAGACTTAACACTGTCTCCATTCGTTCCATCCTGTATTTTTAAGCCTTCCTTCTTCTCCAAACCATCCAAAAGTATTCCATTTACTTTTTTACCAGCTCCATTCTTCAAACTGATCGAAACAGAAGAAACATACTTGCTTCCATTATCAATATCCTCTTCAAAACTATCCCTGAGTTCTCCTTCTTCGTTTATTGGGAATTTTTTGCCTAGAAGAGGTGTAGAAGTACTACTGCTGCTGGTTAAGTGTACAGAACAGTCGCTGATACCACTGTCGCTTCGTTCGCTACAAGCTCGAGCTTTGACTTCTTTTTTTGTACGGTAAAAGTCTTCAGATTCTTCAAGTTTCATTTTATTTAGTTTTGTAATCAATTTATTACCGTCTGAGTACGAATTATCTTTAGGAGAACTCGTTTCTTCAATAACTTCCATTCTTTTTTCATCTTCTATTAAAACATCTTCTTTTCCTACTAAACTGATGTCACCATTAGCTTCTTCAACATTTTTTGACCCTTCAGAACTCTGATTATCTTCACTAATTTCATCTACAGTCTCTCTATGACTGCTTTCGTCATTCTCGTCAAAAGAATCCTTAATAATGCTTTCGAAATTGTGATTTTCGATCTTTTTCAGTAAGCGTTCCTCCTCCAGGCTGGACATGCGCGGTACCAGCCCTCCAGAGATCGAGGTACGAGGGGTGGTCGGATTGGAGTTGGCAGAGTTGCGTCTGCTGGCAGACAGAGTTGCCATTCTGCCCAGAGCTCGTATGGCGTTGCCAGTTTTCTATGTTAAGCAACAACAAACAAAAAAACAAAAAAATCATGCAAAATAAAAACAGGGTTAGTATTGTTCAAATTTTTGTAAGAAGGTAGAATTATTTAGTAGATATTCCTTAAGAATATTTTCAAAATAAAGTGTTGTTAATTTTAATAACAAAAATAATAAAAAAGTAAAAAATGTAATGCTAAGTTCATACGGCAAAAAAATCAAAATTATGCAAAAAACAAGTTCTTCCTACCTGCCACTTTCTTCTGATGATGAATTTCTTCAGTTTGTCAGTGGAAAGAACCACTGTCTCTTGGTGATTCTCCGGATCAAGCCAGACATGTCTCAAACATTGATCTGCTGATATTCTGTCACTAAAATAGGAAGATACAGCTGGGTTAGATATTTTTAGTTAATAATTTAACTAAGTTTTTGGTTTAAGTGATTTGTGTTGTAATACTTCAATAAAAACAATATTTTGAACTGGAAAGCGGTAATAATGGCCCTTTATGTCCCGGAGGTGAGTTTTGCTGATGTAAATAATAACTGTTTATATATTTATAATTAATTCATTTGTGTTTCCTAAAATATCTCGATTAAAAGAAAATACGTAAAAGTCGGCAACGCTGTGCCGGTCAAGCTTAATCACGCGACTAAATGTTACTACTTACTCTTTTCTTTTTACAAGAAGGGCTCCAATAAAATCTCTAGCATCTTGGGACACCGTGTTGAACGCTTCATCGTCGAAATCGTAGTCGGCCCTGGTGATGTTGGCGAAAGTTTCTGAATCAGTATCACCCATAAACGGTGATAATCCAGACAGTCTGAAAGTGTCAGTGTGATATACAGGCTGTCCAAAAAAAAATGGAGAAACTTAATTGATAAGATACACTACTTACAGTACATAGCAAATGACACCTAAAGACCACATGTCCGATTCAACTCCAATAGGTTCGTAGTTAATGATTTCTGGAGGTATAAATTCTGGTGTACCAAATAAAACTCTCACGGGTACGTCAGGGTTCAGTTTTTGAGCCAACCTGTATAAAGAATTATAAAAATTAACTTTTGAAGAAGTAGGTACTATAATGCTATCATCTATTCATGCACTAGATAATCGCCATCACTAACTCCCATTTTTGACAGCTCTGTTTGGCATTTTTAAGATGTTTTATGACAGAACTGAGCTTTTCACAAAATTTTTATGACATAATTGATCATAGTAATTTGAATCTACTTACCCAAAATCAATAATCTTAATTTCGTGCGATGTCCTGGTGTGACACATGATATTTTCCGGTTTCAGGTCCAAGTGTACGATGCTCTGCGAATGCATATAGGCAACACCTTCGCAAATCTGTCTCATGAATAAAATACAGTCTTTTTCCGTCAGAGTAAAATCGTCAGCAACTACTCTTTCAAAAAGTTCACCGCCGGATATACTACAAGGAAAAATATTATGTTTAGAAAAACTGATAATGTAACGCAAAATTCAGTTGATGTAATGTTTAATTCGGTTGATGTAATGTAACATCCAGATGATGTAATGTAAACTTCAGTTGATGTCATAAAAACAATTGATGTAATGCAAAGTTCAGTTGATGTAATACAAAAAATAATTGATGTAATACAAAATTCAGTTGATGTAATGCAAAAATATACGAGCTGTGTATTTTTTTCTGTTTTTACTTACTATTCCATAACCATAATCATTTCTTTGGGATGCTCGAATGCAGCTGCTAATTGTAGAAGTTTCTGATGCCTTAACAGATTCATTATATTAATTTCTTCTTGTACCTGAAAAACAAATTGTAAAATAAAATTAAATATAAAAATACAATAAAATAGAACCATAACAGTCGTAATAAAAATAGCACATTTATTAAGTATACTACTGACGCAAGAACAGTTAACCTAATAGGACTGCTCATTAAGCCAAAAGTGTCCGCCAGGTGCATGCGAAAACCACTCGCTTTGTGACGTCATTGTAGTCCTTGTCATGGTTATTAGTCCTTATCCGGCAACCAATAATACACACACGTGCATTATTAGTTGCCGAATGCAAAACGTTCATTATTTAGTTTATTTATTTAAACACCTTATATGTATGCAGTACAGAAAATTAACTGTATAAATCGTATTAAATACTCGGATAATGCATTTTTAAGAACAACAGTTCCCAGCATCACCTTTTGCAAGCATTCTTTTTAGAATACTTCCATATTTTGCTTTAAAATAATTAATAAACAATATCGTAGGCACTTAGTAAGCACTTTGTCACAATCCACAACACAAAATGAACGTATTTATACACTCTATAGCTCTAAAAATTTTAAAGACACCTTTTTCACATTTAAAATTGACAAAATAATTAACTCAAAATTTCTCAGCTGTTATTTTTATAAGTTTACCATAGGCAACTAAAAATACACACAAGGACTTGACAAGGACTACAATGATGTCAGAACTGTCAGCTGAAGCGCGGGAAGAGGCGAACGTACGTCTTATGAGGATGAGCAATCCTATTAGTTTACCGTTCTTGCTACTGACGTAGGTATTATGTAATTTTGACATTAAAATGTCTGAATAAGCTTCAAAAAACATTTATTTGGGATAAAATGAAAAAGAAATATCGCAAAATTTAATAATTTCTTGTATGCTAAAGTAGGAAAAATATCTTAAAAAGATATTTTTCCAGTTCAGATCAGTTCAGACGTCAAATCTTTTGACGTCAATCTCCTCCTTAAGACGTTACCTTATCTTTGTCTTTCTGTGTGCGGCATCGTATGAACTTGGCTGCTAATTTTTGGTTGGTGGACTTATCCACAACTTTGTGGACCACTCCGAATCTGCCTTTACCCAGTTCCTCCTGGACATCGTACCTTGATTTGAAGTTAGATCCTGGTTCCATGGCTACCAAGCGATGCTCAAACGAAGACGATTCGTCTAGAACAATATTTTTTTATTAAAAAAACGTTTATTGTACAGGGTGTGTCAAATTCGACGCTTTTAAATGGAAACACCCTTTTCTATAGAAGATAGACGAAAACTAATATCGGTGTCTGTAGCTCAATTTTCATCAAAAACATGATGGTGAAAACCGCACATCAATATCTGTTACCGTTTCGGAGTTACGGGGTGTTTTTCAAAAATGTGCATTTTAACAAATCGCTTGTAACTTTTTGCTATGGAAAATTTTGTATTTCTATGAAAACATTTCCAAAGCACCTTTTACGTAGAATTTAATGGTTTAAGTATAATTTCTTTAAAATTAATAATTTAAGAGTTATCAACAGAAAAATTGATTTTTATTTGGGACACCTATATTTTTAATTAACTGAAAAGAATTTAAAATTACCTATCCAAAAATATAGCACACTTGATATTTTATTATAATCCTCTTCGAAATACAGAATTTTTAAAAGTTCGCCACTTTTAACTAGTAGGCTTTGGACCCCTTATTGATGATATGCCCGTAATGGAACTCGAAAACATATTTTTCCAGCAAGACGACGCACCGCCTCTGAACGCTGAAGTTATCAGCAAATTTTTGCAGCCAATTTCAAGAATAATTGAATAGCTAACCAAGATCCCAGCCGTTGGCCGTCGAGGCCGCCTGACTTAGTGCCCATGGATCTAATCCTATGGATATATTTGCGGAAGAATAAAGGTTCCTTATTTATAATATAGACAAGAATTAGAAATACTTAGCAGTTATGAGAGGGTATATTTCACCCCTACTGAGTTAATGAATTCCGCGAGAAATGTTCAAAAACTGCCCCGTCTGTCCATAACAGAAGACGGTTGATATGTCGAACACCTGTAGCAAAATCTCATGTCTTGGTTTGCTGTTTATTTTTATTGTTATTAGATATAGTTTAAATGTGTTGATGTTGGTTAAATATATTTTAAATTGTTATAAAATTCTGCATCTCTCATAGCAAATATTATTTTCGTTTTAACTGATGCTCACAGCTAGATTTTTTTTGCATTACAGCCGGTGCCGTTCAAAGTTCAAAGCCTACTTATTTAAAGCGGGCGAATTTTTATATACTCTATATCTCGAAGAGGAATCTCTCGAGCAAAATTTCAAGTGTGTTATATTTTTGGAAAGGTAATTTTAAATTCTTTTCAATAAATTAAAAATATACAGGGTGTCCCATATAAAAAATTAAATTTTCTGTTGATAATTCTTAAATTATTAATTTAAAAAAAATATACTTAAACCATTAAATTCTACGTAAAAAGGTGCTTTGGAAATGTTTTCATAAAAATACAAAATTTTCCATAGCAAAAAAGTTACAGCGATTTGTTAAAAATGCATATTTTTGAAAAACACCCCGTAACTCCGAAACGGTAATAGATATCGATATGCGGTTTTCACTATCATGTTTTTGACAAAAATTCAGCTCCAGACACCGATATTAGTTTTTGTCTATCTCCTATAGAAAAGGGTGTTTCCATTTAAAAGCGTCGAATTTGACCCACCCTATACACATCCAAGAAAAAAATTGGTATAGATTCAATAACAGTGCCTATTCAGGGCTAGCTGGTCATCTACGCTTATTTTTTTGTAATTAAATCTTAGTTAAAATTTTGGTGAGATCAATTTCTTGACGTCATTTAATAAAAACGGACATAAAACTTAATACTAACAAAATAAAAACACTAAATCACCACAATACACCAAAACACTTTTACTTTTACACTGGACGCGCGTTTCGCTAACCATGTTAGCATCATCAGCAGATGATTATAAACTAAAGTACAATCTACAAGTTGAGCGTTTATATACTCGCTCAGTGGGCACCGAGTGGGCGTGGCAAAATCTAGCCAACCGAGTCGGAGCCAACTGAGCGTAACAGTTAGATTTCCGCCACTAGAGTAGTAGGAACAAAGAACTTGAAGGAATTGGACCGTTGACTCTGTTCATACTATCTTTACATTTATTAATTCTGATGCTTTCATATGCATCTAGTTGCCTGTAATTTGAGACTTGCTTAATTAATTTTAAATTATTAAGATCTATACAATGTTCATTATCAACAATATGTTCAGCAAGGCAAGATTTATCCGGTCTACCATATCTTATCTGAGCTAAATGTTCTTTAAATCTAGTTAATATTGATCTTCTAGTTTACCTAACATATTTCTGATTACAATCTTTACAAGAAATTTCATAAATACCCGACCTTTCCAGTGGAGGTGTTTTATCTTTTGGATTACCTAATAATTGTTGTAATTTATTATTAGCACTATACACAAGTTTATAATTGACATTCTTAAAAATTCCTTTTAGACCATGGGATAACTCTCTATCAAACGGTATCGAAAAATATTTAGACGTATCTTTCTTCACTTGAAAAGTCGAATTTTCAGAAATCATTAACCTATACCTACGTTTTCTAATTAATTTATCAACTAGTGAAGGAGAATATCCATTACACTCAGCTACATTCCTAATGTAATCTCTTTCTATTTCATATCTTTCGTTGGAAAGTGGGAAACTAAGTAATCTATGAACTAAGAAATTTAAACTAGCCATTTTATGTTCAACACTATGATGTGATTCATTAGGAATGTATCTGCGTGTGGTCGTATTTTTCCTATAGATATCAAATTCCAGGCAATTATTAGTATTTCTAATAACTAATACATCTAGAAATGGTAATCTGTCGTTGTTCTCAATTTCATGCGTAAATTTAATGGAAGGAAAACGATTATTTAACTTAGAAATAAAATTATCTATGGTGTTTGAATGTGTGTCAAAAACAGCCACTTAATACTAATCAAAAATTTCAATCAAAAAAACGTTTCTATACACACAAAACTATTTTTAACGAATTTTCAACCACACCATTTAAAAATCATGTTTATTCAGTATAAAAATAAAATAGATCCACCTTCTTAACGCCAAATAGAAGTAAATGACGTCTAGGGCTTGACCTCGGCAAAATTACTATCGATTGTCATTCCCCAGCCGTTTTTGACGCCGTTTTTTTTTTCGATCGTATTTTACATGTAACTAAGTAATTATTTTCTAATTCAAACAAATATAAAAATAATCTGGAGACACAGAATTGATTTTGTGAGTCACGACCTAAAAAAACAGCAATAAAGACATCGACACTTTATTGCTATAGGTTAGTTATAGATTTTCTTTGATAAGTCACCAACCTTGCTGTGTAATAAGTTGCTTGTTACTTTCCCATGTCAATTTAGACGAATATATACGGCGTCGGCAATCGCCGACAAACGTGTGAATTTTGATTTGAGAGAATATGCAATATTTAATTTTATTTCCAATAAGGTCTGTAACATTTTTTGTTATAAACACGTTATAATCATTTTTCCAATAAAATTTCCAGCATTGTTAGTGCATTTTATAACCAATATTGCCACTACCCTTCCCAAACTCAATCTCTAGATCTCTGTCCACGACTATGTTAAGAATAATAAAATTAACTAAAACCCAAATTTTAAAGTTGCAAAAGCAACAAAGTATATTTGATAGATTTTCTTTAATGTATTTATTTTATACTTTTAACATATAGAGATTTACAACTGAATGAAACTTACCGTCCATTTTTCTTTAATAATAACTATTTTAACACATATTGTTCATGGCAAGGCAACCTGTACCAGACTAAAATAAACATTTTTGGGTTTTAAACTAAAATAGGTGTTAAGATAAGGTGTGTTAAATAAAAACCACGTTCTGGGTTCAAGGCTGCTCTACAGTACAATGTTTTCCTTTTTTTTATTGTTTAAATATGAATAATAAAAATTAGTTATAAAAATCTATTTATAATTTTATTAAGAAATATATTGGAATTAAAAGAAAACGATACAGGGCGAGTTTCCTGCGATGTTCTCTATGGGCATCTCGGAAACTCAGGGGCGGATCGTGAATTTGTGGGGCCCTGGGCTGAAACTACTTAGGGGCCTACATAAGTACTCAACTAATAGCCATATCAAAAAACTGTTTCTATAATGATATATTATTATTCTTTTTCTTTACGTGCCGTCTCTTTCGTGGAGGTTGGCGATCACATTGGCAAAATCTTCACGATTCTCGGCTTTCCTTATAAGTTCTTCAAAAGTTAGGTGAGTCCAGTTTCTGATGTTTCTCAACCAAGATAGTTTCTTCCTGCTGAGACATCTCTTTCCTTCAATCTTACCCTTAACTGTCAATTGTAAGACGTGGTATTTTTCATTTCTCAATATATGCCCTAAGTATGATGTTTTTCTTATTTTTATTATATTGAGCAATTCTCTTTCTCCGCCTATTCTGCTGTAGACTTCGGTATTTGTGATATTGTAATTGTAAATATAAATTTTTCAAATGAAGAAAAGCGTGTAGATACTCCCCCATCAATAGAGTGGTTCCAACATGACTTTTATTACGACCCCCCCCCCTCATAATGAAAGAAATGTTAAAAATTATTTATATCAAAATTATGCAAACTCAGGGATAGAAAGAGGTGGACCAATTGCATGGGCCTCCTCGATCACCTGACCTCTCCATTTTAGATTTTTTTTATGCGGTAAGGTTTAACAATAGGGCTTACAAAAGAACTTGTGAATTAAGAGAGGCACTCGAAGTGGTGGTACGAGAGAAGTTTAATTAAGTCGACCGGTCCTTCTGTGAGAATAGGTAGTAATTCAGTTTTAAAAAGATGCAACTCAAAACAATGGCGGTTTTTTTGAACATTTTCTAAAATAACTTAAAGTGTATGCAGTGATATTATTTTTTAAGTTTTAGTTTGTGGCCCCGGGCGCCCCTAACCCACACTACGCCACTGTGTAATGTAAATTGTAAGGAACCGTTTAGTAATATATTCTAACTTTTTATAAGTTTTATAAATTATAATAGAATAAGAATACCATGCAATCCAATTGAAATTAATCAAGAAAGATCAGAATTGGCTATAACTAAATGTAACTTTTCTAACATGTCTTGAAAACCCTTCTCTAAAAAACGTAATTTTTTGAAAATTGAAAATTGATTTTTGAAAAGGATATGATTGGAGAATGTTACTTAAGGATCAAGAGAGGATCACAATACATCTGAAAAAGTCGCAGTGGAACAGGCCAACAGCCACCTCGAAGAACCTAATCTAATATAGGAATTTATGAGAATTGTTTATTGAAATTTTATTCTTTTGGAGCTGTATTGAATACTTTTTTTATTTTAATATTGATTATATAGAGAACTAGACATCTTGTATATTAGACTTTCTCTGTATCTACGTATTTATTTAAAATTTAGAGTAGGATTATTATCATTATTATTTTAGTAATCACATTAATACTTACTGTGTTCTTCCAACTGGACTATATCACTATCCAAGCTGGGTTTGCTAGTACCGTGGACGTTCACGGCTCGTATCCTGAACACGTACCGACCTCCAGGTTGGAGACCTCCCACCGGGTAACTCAGGTAAGTACAGTCGTCTACCACAGTACTCCAAATGTCACTGCCCACGAGGGAGTACTCCACTATGTATCCGGTAACTTTTTTACCACCGTCATATGGGGAACTACTCCAAGCTACTATGACGGTGTCCGTAAAGGCACTGATGGTGGGGGTACCACTTGGAGGGTCTGGAGGACCTAGAAGTTAAAGGAAAATATATTAGAACTGAAGGCACATACAAAATTCAGATTTTTAGTATTTGGAGCAATAACTATCAATCAACGCATACAGTCAATCAATGTAATTCGAATACTGGGATCATATTAATTGGTCTTCTGTTACAAATATTTAAATAGTTTTTTTTTATTTTTTAAAATATTAGTAGGTATCTATACTCTTTGAAAAATTTTTACATCTTACAAATATTCTTTTTATTTTTTTAAATTAATCATAAATTTTTCTTGGAGAAAATGATGAAAAAACAATTTCTGGTGAACTTTTGGCATAAAAACATTTCAAATTTATGATTTGAGTCTACTATTTAGTCAACATGTTTAATTTGTGTCAACGATGACAGATATTGATAATTTCGATTCCAAGAACGATCTCGAGAACCAGTACTCGTAGCGATTTTTACCGAGAGACCTTTTTTACATAAAAAACGTCGTAAATGTATAGTTTTTTACTTAGTAATTTTATACGAACGAAAAGTTATTATTCTTCAAAGCGGTTAAAAAATATGTAGGTGGCGCCCTCTACAAGTAGGGGTCATATTGATATCAAAATCTCATGTCAAAAAACTCCCGGGAACCAATTTTCATCCAAATACTGACGTTACTTCAGAAATTATTTGGAAAAAATCGAAATAAAATGAAACTTCTACACCCTGTATCTCCGAAACTTAGCATTTTAGGACATGTAAATATATACAGGACAGAATATGCTGTCGAAGTTTCCGGAATACCGAACGGACCACCCTGTATAATATACAAAATCTTTGATTCTATTAACAATTAATTTTGTTAAAGACAATATTGTTACAGTTTGAAACAGATGTTGCTAATTAGAACCAAAAGCTCGCTTTTTTTCAATCATTTATACTGTTTACAGCATTTCTCCATATTTCTGCTATAGGCCTAGAACCCGTTTGATAGATTTCCTTTTCGATATTCGACAAAAAACGTTCCAATCTTGACACCTTGGGCTATTAACTCTCCGATTCGCATATTTTCTAGACAAGCCATTAATTTGTTGCGATATTATTCAGTTTTTTTCGATGATCTAGAGAACCGCATGAAAATTGAATAGCTCGTGACTGCACATTCATTGAATTTTTCTGAATATATCATCTTCTTGTTGAATAAATATTATCTATATTGTACCTATAAATTATTTAGTGATACATTACAATCGATTTTAGAATACTGATTCAATGCACTGATAAAAAAGATAGACTGGAACAAAAGTCGTCATCGTTCTTGAAAAAAAAAAATTTAGTGGCAAGAGAATTTATTTTAGCGTAAAAGAAAATATTTTGCCTAAAGAAAAACTCTCTTAACTCAAGAAAACTGGTTCTCTTGAATCTATTTTCATTCAACCAAGTGCAAGTTACTTTGTTTTAAGATAATAAGAAAAATACGCTAGGAAGTATTTCATTCGGCCATTTTTCCAATAGCTAAAATACTCTTTTGATGAAAAATAATAACGACACGCAAAGACGATGACGAAGGACGGTATATACAATCAGTCGGCAGTCCGATCAGTCATATGTCGCATTTCATAGGTCGCACATCATAGTACGCACGGGTTTTGTTGCTTGGAATTTTGCATAATTTGCTTTTTAAACGCATATCCGTATAACAAATTAGTGATCGTTATTAACATGCATTTGTCATTTTTTATGGACAAATTTTAGGATATATGGATTCTTTAAAGGAGTTTCTGAAAAAATGGAAATTAGAGCATTTATTTGCTATATTTGAAAGTAAGAGACATTTACCTAATGCACCTGTTTAGATAATGCATGCGTCACTATATATAGAATAAGAATAATTTTAGAATTTCAAGTCGTCGTATTAAATTTGATTAATCGTGATGTAACATTTTTTGTAATTTGTAGAGTAATGAACCACCCCAAAAAATACCAAGAAGTGAAGAAGCAGAAATAACTACTATCGAGGAAAATAATATCACTTGACTTACTCCAGACCAGGAAAACCTAAATTTATCAGAAAATAATATACCTCGTAATATGCCTGTATAATATGATGTATAGACTTCTCTCAGATCAAAATAAATTTTAATTGAGTCAATAGTATTCGCTATTGGTTTAAGAAAAGTGTCTCTTTAATCAAGAAATGTCCCTTTTCAATCAAGAATTTTTGCATGAATCAAAGAGACTATTGTTCTTGTAGCAAGAACTTCTTTGCATATTCATTTTGGGTCAAGAATGAAATACTTTGGACAGATAGATTCTTCTATTCTCTAAAGTAATTTTTTAAAGCTTATGAAAAGATAGTTAATGCTTTGGGCAAAGAAACGTCGTTCTTGGCCCTATTGAAAAGCGCCAATCTTTTGGGTCAAAGTCATATTCATTTCGACTAAGAGATCCTTTTTTTCAGGTTGGTTTTTAAAAATAACTAAGAAGCACATGGGCGCAGCTCATGTTTTTCCCCTGGACTCTTCATACGTAAAAGAAACGCCAGAAAAGATTAGGCGAATAGCCAAAAAATACAACATTAAAACTTCTGAAACAATAAAATGTCTGTTTCACTGAATATGAATTTGATCTAAAAGAAAATACCACGAACCAGGGCAACTGCCAATCAAAATTAGAGAATTTTGAAGATAGTGATTTCCCTATCCTAATATTCTATGGCTTTAGCCAAGAGCTGTAATAACTCACCTTCCACAGATACTGAAGCATAGTGACAGTCACTACCAAAGTCGTTTTCAACACTGACATCATACTTGCCGCTGTCGTCTGTAGTGATGTTTTGAAGGAGCAAACAAGAAACTCCATCTCCCGATGTGATGCTCGTACGTTCATCGTTTTTCAGCGCCTTACCCTGAAAATAGAAAAAGAGATTTGGTATGTTTTCAAAAGTAATAAAGATTTATCTTCAGATTACAATGTAACAATAGCTTTTTCCCATATACATATACAGGGTGTCCCACTTAAGATGGATACAAGCCAAAATCTCGGTTGTTTGTTGAGCGATCTTTTTCATTTTTGGCAGGAGGTTGTACGGCTATAAGACGTAAATTTTGCCCAGGGTAAGAAATGCGATACCTCATAGACGTACGTTTTAATGGGGTTTGATATTTTTCGAGTGAAGAGTAAACTACCCTTAGGACAGTATTTATTTCAAATCTGATAAATTATATTGAATCCTCCTTACCTAAGATACTTAAGTTCTAATTTCGATAAATATTGAAACAGGGTGTGTCATTAAAATAAGACATTTTTATTTTTATTATTATTTTTTTAAGTACTTACGACGCCACTGGATAAACAACTGGGTTATTATCAACAACCAATTATAACCAATTATCAATTAATAATCGTTTTTTTTATGATGGTTTGGTCGAAGATGTTGACTTTTAGTTCGTTATAGTTTTATAAATCTTTGTTTAGAGCATATTTTTCAAAGTTAATAGGGATTGTTTTAAATATCTAACTATTTGAATTTTTTAAATATTCCTCAATAAAACGAATAAAATTCATATTTCAGATTCCATTGAAAAACAATTTTTTAAAGTAAACAAAATAAATTGAAAATATTTAGTTTTTTTCTATAGTATCTTAATTATTATGGAAGCTATTTGAAAACTTAAATTGATTATTAATTGATAATTGGTTATAATTGGTTATTGATAATAAACATGTTGTTTATCCAGTGGCGTCGTAAGTGCTTAAAAAAAATAATAAAAATAAAAACGTCTTATTTTAATGACACAACCTGTATCAATATTTATCAAAATTAGAACTTAAGTATCTTAGGTAAGGAGGATTCAATATATTTTATCAGATTTGAAATAAATACTGTCCTAAGGGTAGTTTACTCTTGACTCGAACAATATCAAACCCCATTAAAACGTACGTCTATGAGGTATCGCATTTCTTACCCTGGGCAAAATGTACGTCTTATAGCCATACAGCCTCCTGCCAAAAATGAAAAAGATCGCTCAACAAACAACCAAGATATTGGCTTGTATCCATCTTAAGTGGGACACCCTGTATATAAACCGCTCTCATTATTTTTTAAGTATAAACACTGTTCGTATAAGGAGCGATTCCAAAAGCGTCATCTAATGTACAGTGCGTCAAAACAATAATAAATATAATACCTTAACCCATTTATTCCCGGGGATAGAAATATATAAAAAAAAACATTTTTTTTTAAATACTTTTATTATTATACATATAAAAAGACAAATTTCATGTTTTGGAAAATTCCCAATTCATTTTTTAAAAAAAATAATAGTGGTGCGTTGGCGAACCACTGGTATAAAAAACTAAATAAAACTTTTCAAAAATATTCCTAACTGATAAAAACCCTACTAAAGTACACTTAACACATCGGAATTATCTTACATTCTACTTAGAAGTATAAAATAAAACACTAAAACGCTCAAAAACAACTAATTTATCAACTTTTATTTGGTGCATGTATGAACCACTGGTAACAAAGATTATTACTTTTGGTGATACGTAGCAAAGCACGGAACATGCAAATGTACCTTACATTTTTGACATATATACATACTATGATTATGGCAAACTCTACATCTCCTTCGAGCCTTAGTTTCGTGGAAAACAATGGTGTGGCCTTGATTATCAAAGCGAATTTCGTCAATAGATTGTGGAATGTTTCTAATAACTGCAGCAACTCTTGTAGATTTCATTAGACGTAGTGCAACATATGATTTGAAATCGATTTGAGATATTTTACTATTGTTAGCAACATTATAAAGCTTCCAAGCATTCACCATAATACTGTCCAAAGTATTACAGAATAAAGGCCACCACCATTTTTTCCCCAAAATTCTGGTTCTGTAATTGGCTATTCCGTTATCGTGCAAATCCACACCTCCCATATATTTATTATATTGTGTGATTACATTAGGCTGTGGAACAAAAACATCTTTTTTTTCTTTTCTATTATAACGTTTGACTTTATTTATAGGTTGCACATTATGTACGTTACTACAAAGCGTTACGCAAGAGTTATCATTCCAACGTACAACTGAAACTTTCGAATCTTTATCATATGCCATATCAAAAGCGCCGCGTTCTTTTTTCGAAAAACTTTTACTATTTTCTAGAGGGCAATTATTCGTCCTATTTTCTCTGATAGTTCCAGTAGCAAAGTAACCAGTGTTTTTCAGGTGAGAAAATAATCGAAAAGATGAGAAAAAATTGTCGAAAAAAATTTCATGGTTGCTGGGCTTTTGGATAACAGACAACAAACTCATTACAACGTCACCGCTTAGTCCAAGCTCAGAATATATTTTTTTTTGATTCCCAGCATATGGCATTGTATAAAATAAATACCCGTCAGAAGAACATAGGCACCAAAGCTTGAAGCCAAAACGTACCGGCTTGCCTTTGATGAACATTTTACAAGAATGCCTTCCAAAATATGGCACCATTTGTTCATCAATTGATAAATGAAAATTGAAAATTCCCCATTGCAAGTTTTTTCTATTGATTATGTCCACAAAAGGCCTTATTTTGGAGAACTTATCATTTTTGTCTAATTGTTCATTGTCAGACAGATGCAAATTTCGTTTTATACTATAAAACCTGTTTCTACTCATGCAATTTTTCACTATGCCCACACCTTTGTCTTCCTCAGTGGACCAGTACATTGAAGTTTGTGGTAAAGTGTGATATCCGGAAAGATACATTATTCCTATAAAATTTAACAATTCTTCCTTAGAGACTATGAAGTCATGTCTATTATTATCTGCAGCATATTTATGTGAATATCTCAAAACTAAGTCTGTCACTTCTTCGTCAAAAAATAAAAAGAACACTTCTAAAGGTGTCTTACCACCTACAGCTACAGCTACGTTTTCTTTGTCTTGATGTTCAGTTGATATTGGAGAGTGTGTATATTCTATTTCTCCTTTGAGCCACTGCGGTGCAAGAACAGTATTACGGGAAACTGAAGCAGTAATTTTTCGTTTTTTGGTTTCTAAAGTTTCTTCATCAGAAGAGTCCCAATCGTATTGTTTTCGTACATTTTGATCGACATCTACAGAATTGGAAGAGCTAGGGATGTGAAGTTCGAAAGTACCGACAATATCGTTTGGCTTTGCCGTTTCCGCCAATATATTCTCATCATCTATATCTTCTTCATCTGTCAAAGCATCGGTGTCTGGAGGTATATAAACTGCATCCAGTACAACTAATAATAAAAAACAAAATTTTTATTGAATTATAAACTATAGATGTAAGTAAGTGATTTCTTACCATTATTATCATTTTCCAGCTCAAAAACAACACTTTCCAATTCCTCTTCTAATTGTCTTTGCGTCAAAAATCGTTTATAAGGCATCTTAGCTAACTTACATGCATATAACACGAAACACAAACTAATAATAACGCATTTATTCGATTATTATGACTGTGCACACGTTCGTCAAAACTTGTCAAGACCGGCAAAATTCGGCTTCTAGTTTATTTTTATTACCAGCGGTGCGCGAATGCACCACTAATATTTTGGAGAAAAATTAAGGTTTTTATAGAGACTGTGGTAAATCATCCTTTTTATCATAAAAACGGAAGATCATGACAGATTAGTAGTAGTAATAAAAAAATGGAAATAATTATTAAAATGTGGAAATTTTTCAAAATTCCATTATATAGTTTTTGCAGATTTATTTTGTCACATTTTATACGTTTGTATTTTTTATTACCCGAGGAGAAGAAAAGCCTCAATAAGTATTTTTATTAACAAAAATCTATTATCAACGAATGGGTAGAAAAATCTAGGCTCCAAAACAATATTTTAATCGAAATTTGATTTTCATAAGTTGCTGGTGCATTCATGCACCAATGGGATAAAATGGGTTAAACGCGAAAATTACAGTTGGCCATGTGTTATGACTAAAAGTAAAGCACAAAGCGTTTCATTTGTTGCTTTTAAACATCCATCATTCGTCTCTCTATATTTATTTCTTTACGAATCTCGAACTGTTAATACCATATTTTAATAGTCGTATACGCAGGCAATCTTTCGGTTTAAATGTCGAAGTTTCGCTCTGTATAAGGATTAAGAGACCTTCCACACTGTTAGTTAGAGGTTACTTCCATAAAAATCTGTTAGTTTTTGACGTCAGAGATATATAGTAATAATTTGCTACTTCTTTGCAATGCGTTGGGTTTTGTAGCGCTTTCAAAAACCACATATTATAGTGTTTTCCAAAATGATCAAGCCATGAAAGATAATCAAGTAAAAATACGTAGCAATCTCTCGCTAGATGTTATTTACTGTTAACTAACTTGTCAAAAATTAAAACTATTATAGAAAGATGAAAAAAGGATAGAACATTTCCAGACACACAAATCTATTTCGAAAAAAAAATTTCTCGAATTTTAAACTATCCACTATTTAAAAATCATTGTTAATCAATATAAAAATAAATCACAACCTTTTTAAGGCCAACTAGCAGTAAGCGCCATTAAAAATATAGAAAAAGTACAGGCTAAGAGCTTGACCTCGCCAAAATTACCATCGATTGTCATTTCCCAGCCGTCTTTGACGCCGTTTTTTTTATCGATTGTATGGTATTCCTTTAACAGAACGTCAACGGTTTATAATAGACGTAGACTTATAAATTTACTAAAAGAATATCTTAATACCATTAATATCATTTATTATTAAAACCGACCTATAATAAAAACATTGCAAAACGAATATCAATAACAGATTGCCCATTATATTTAAATACAAACTGACAGCACTACTGTAGACTTAATGTTTAAATTAATAATTCAATTCATACCCGAAATGGAAAGTTTAAAACCAACTTATTAGGCTAAAAACAATTAAGCTGT